CCGTTTCTGCTCAAAATGTTATTAAATGGACAGAAAAACAGCAGAAATTAATGACATAATCATCAATAGGAGCAGTTTTATTTAAAACACTCTCCACATGAATTTTACCCCTCCACCGTTTTCCCTTCCTTGTTTTTCGGGGGGTAAAAAAAAAACCTGACAGGTTTTGATCATGATGTTTGTGAGAGAGCGGCTCTAGGAAGAAGCAGCAAGTCGGATCAGGACAGGCGATGAATGATGAGTCGAGCGCAGGAGCAAGTCTGAACATCAACCTGAGGAAAATTTGTTGGCTGAGGGATCAGGAAGGAGAAAGTTGAACAGATTGTTGCTCATAAAGGACGTCTTTGTCCCGCTGGTTCCATCTGCTGTGGTTATTTATGGATTTCTGGGAAAACCAGGACTGGTTTTAGTGTTTTAATGGAACAGTTTTACCTCAGAGCGTGTAGCTCTCCTGCCCCCTAGTGGCTGAAATGTTGCTTTTAAGTCACTGCTCATCTGTTATGTTTTATTGTGGTTTTCTGTAGGAGTCAGTGTGTTTGTTTGTTTCTGTGCCAGGAAGCGACCGAGAGAGGATGACGAGATGACGGCGGCAGCTACGCCCAAGAGGCGGGTGATCAAACTGACCAGCGTCAGAGAGCTGAGGGCCGAGGTGACGGAGAACACGCACAAAGGTACGGCCTCTGCCGTCCTGCAGCGTTCTTGGATCACGTTCACCAGGCGTGCACAAACAGATCCCTCCTCAGGTCTCATTTTTTCCCCCTCCTCTGGTTCACCCCCCCTCCGGGGCACGGCCTGTTTACGCAACTCCTGCCTCCATCACATCCTGCCCTCACCGCAGAGAAGCAACCCAAACCCTCCTGTTGCCATGCCAACATAACTCCACCAAACAATACGGTTTGGTGCTGGTTATACTTCCTCTAAACGGAGGAAGGTAAAAGAAAAAAAATGGTTCCCGTTTGTTTTTCTCTGCAGGTTTGCAGGAAATGTTGCAGAAGCACTCCTTCGTCGGCTGCGTCAATCCGCAGTGGGCTTTGATCCAGCATCACACTAAGCTCTACCTGCTGAACGCCACCAAACTCAGGTCTGAACGCAGCAGAATCACTGTGTTTTTAACCATTTAGTGGTGAAAATCCCAATTAAATAGCATGCATCAGAACCAGCCATCTTCTTTCCTTCCTCTCTGCAGTCAGGAGCTTTTTTACCAGATTCTCATCTATGACTTTGGAAACTTTGGAGTCCTCAGACTGTCTGTAAGTAGAGCCGAATCTCAGCAGGTCTGCAATGAGCCGAGCGGCTTGTTAACCGATGGGAATCCTGTGCTTCTCAGACGCCGGCGCCTCTCTATGACCTGGCCATGCTGGCGCTGGACTCGGAGGAGAGCGGCTGGACGGAGGAGGACGGGCCCAAGGAGGGCCTGGCTCAGTACATCGTGGACTTCCTGAAGAAGAAAGCCGAGATGCTGGAGGACTACTTCTCCATGGAGATAGACCAGGTCAGGAGTGAGGGAGGTCTGTGTTTCTTTAAAGCTTCTCTTCCAGAAGGGATGAGTAACTAACGAGGTGTGAAAACAGGAAGGAAACCTAACAGGACTGCCTCTCCTCCTGGATAAATACACGCCTATAATGGAAGGCCTCCCCATGTTCATCCTCCGCCTTGCCACCGAGGTTAGAGCCCTGATTTCTCCTCTAGAGTTCAGGAAAAAAAGGCACTGATTGAAGGTTCCTGCATGCAGGTCAACTGGGACAATGAGAAGGAATGCTTCAGGGACTTCAGCAAGGAGTGCAGCGCCTTCTACTCCATCAGGAAGCAGTACGTCCTGGAGGCCGAGCCAGGAGAGGAGGCGGTAAGGAGGTCCGACGTTACCGGAACGAGAAAAACCTGCCTTCAGGTGTTTAATGTTTGCCTGTGTTCCAGGAGGCAGAGGGGAGCTCCTGGAGCTGGAAAGTGGAACACGTCCTCTTCAAAGCCTTCCGAACGCTCTTCAGTCCCCCGAAAACCTTCAGCGAGGACGGCAGCGTGCTGCAGATCGCCAACCTGCCCGACCTCTATAAAGTGTTCGAGAGGTGCTGAGACACCAAACGCCTCCAGAGCTGCTGTTTTATACGTGAATCACTTGTTCTGTAAATAAATTTGTACAAAAGAAAACTGAGAAAATGCTGATTTATGACACCAGAAATCCCAAAAACACGTCGACCATAAATGCCACACATTCAGAGTATTCATCCAGATCACATTTAAGAAAAAAAAAAGTTCAGTTTGACTCCAAGTTATCTGAATATTATACATAAAGGCCCTGATATAAACCAGACCCCACTCTTGGTAAATCCAAACAGTCCAATAATAGCATTTTTAAAGTGTTTTAACCACAGCATAAGGTTTGCTTTTATTTATTTAATATTTCCCATCAGATTCAGAGTATTTTAAACTCTGCTTTAATCTCTTCTTAATGGGAAAACTCATCAGTTTAACAATAATGCAGTTAAAAAACTTCTTTATATTGATTTACAATTTCTAGAAATGTTTAAAGGTTCATAACTCGGCCACAAGGTGGCGCTTCATTGGTTCAGGGCTGGGATTCTCTAAACAAGGCTTCACTTGTTAAGCTGCCTTATGATTAAAATTATGTTTATTAAAAACCATGTTTTATCCAAAGTTTAACTTAACCCTTTATAGGGCATTCAGTGAAAGACTTCAAAACTGCAAAAAAATAAAATCTAAGTAAGTCAGTTTTTCTTAAAATAAGTGCTTTTTTTTTTTTCTTGAACTGAGCAGGTAAGTGAGATTCTTTGCAAATGGAATAAGAAAATTAACATTTAAAATAAGTGGAAAAAATACAGTCTCCTATTTCAAGAGCATAATATCAAATAATCAGATTTTAAGGATAAAAATGCTCCTTCAGCTGGGAGA